GGGGGTAAAACCGCTGGGGGATCACTCACCTCCAGTTCGTGCAGAGGTTAAGAAAATGTGGATCTATACATCCACTCCCCCATACGCCTCCATGACGTAGTGCTTAATTAGTTCAGCACAGAGACATCTTTACCTTATCATAAGACTATGCAGGCATATAGTCTGGATAAGTGACAGTGCCATCACAAATCAATAAATAAATTAAATAAAATATTAAAGCTGCAGGCTCATCACCATTCTCACAAAAGCCTGCCGCTGTGCCGTATCCTGAGGTGGAAACCTGTCACTGAGTATTATTACTGTGAATTTTTTTCCAATAAAATTCGAGTCCCACATGGAATAATATCTCGATTCCTTTTGTCCGTTCATAATAGAAATTGGAAAGTTTATGAACAGTTTGGCAAAATTCCTAATATCAAATTACACTGCTATCCGCTCACGTGTTCCTGAGTTATTTCCTGTCTTAATAGGCGCTCAGCGGGAGTGGGGAGGTCGCGAAATCTTCTAAAAATAGACTTAAATGTGTTAAGAAATGGAACTACAATTTTTATATTTCGGCCTGAAGAAATTAAATGAAGTCTGTGTCAATATGTCCCGAATTTTCTGAGACACAGTGGGTCTGGAACGGGGTCCACTCAGCCTCGTGAGGATAATTGAGGAGCTACTTGAATGGATAAATAGCGGCACCGGTCTAGAAGAAAAGAGATTAACGGCCGTGGGGATCCGTTGCGCTGACCACGCGACGCTCTCTATCCGCTAAAGTTGGCACCAACTTCGCCGACAAGCGGCGGTCGCTCGATCAGTATAGTTCGCTTGCGGACTACAAGCAAAAGAGTTTTTTTTTGTGTGTCAACATGTCAGTATTTTTGGTATGAATGATCAGTTGCTGGAGACAGATTTCTTATATTTGACATGCTGACGAATCATAAACGTGTCTAACGTCCAATATGGAGCATTCTTCAATGATAACAGCTGATAACAGCGATCAAATTAAATTTAGAAGGTAAATGACCCTAAAACACAAATTCATGAACTTCAAATAAATTACGAAGTGAGGTGAAAAAAAAATTTCAGAATCGGGAAAGAGCAATGGAGCGTTGGTCAGGGCGTGTTGCCGTGGTAACGNAGTGTGGGGCTCGAAGAAAAAAAAAATATATATATATATATATATATATCTTCATACTCAAGGTTGAAGAAGCTAAACTTAACTTATGGAGCTGAGCCCTTCTTGAGAAGCCAAATCTGCAGCTACTCAAGAATTTCCCAGCATTTTATGGAACCCGAAGTTTCATTACATTGTTCACAAGAGCCCTCCACTGGTCCCTATCCTGAGCCAGATCAATCCAATCCATCCTATCTCTCTAAGTTCTATTTTAACATTGTCCACCCACCTACGCCTTGGTTTTCCCAGTGGTCTCTTTCCTTCTGGCTTTTCCACCAATATTCTATACGCATTCCTTTCTCCCCCATTCGTGCTACATTCCCTGCCCACCTCATCATCCTTGACTTGATCATTCTAATTATACTTGGGAAGCTAAACAAGCAACCAAAATAAAGCAGGTAGCAAGCAAAACTCTCTGAAACTTCGGGTGACTTTCAACGGACTTCACGGCGCTACGTCCCAGAAGACAGAAATCTTCATATCTGCCTCTGTGAGAACCTCCAAACCTACATGAAATCTGTTTTCAGGAATTGTCGGCATCCCTGTCATCCGAACCAGGAAAACTCTACCCCTTAAAATGTGACATCATTAAAGAAGCGGATATTAAACAAGCCTTCAAGTGGGTTAACGCTAACTTAGGTGGAGTAGATATCTTAGTCAACAACGCCGGAGTTGCTAGCGAGATCAGTCTGATGGGTAAGGAATCATAAGCGTTTTAAAGTCACAAAGTCAGAGTTACTTTACGACTGGCGGTTTACCGTCCATCAGTTCGTCTTGGCACTAAGCCCTTTGAGGATCATGATCAGAGGTTTCTTTTTGCAACTGGCCCTTGCGGTCATAGTCCTTACGTAACATCCTCTCTGACGAGAGCATGGGTTTCTCTCTCATAAAGAGGCTTCATATTTGTCAAGTGTACGTATCGCACATGTAGCATGTTATTGAGAATTCTTCCTTGTGCACTGTATACAAGTCCTCCGTCAGTCCAGACTTTACAAAGCAAATCATGTCTATCTTACGTATCTTATGCTATAACGGCAGCTTAGTCACTTGAACGGCCGTAAGCTTGACCGCCGCCAAATTTAATCCTCTAATATTTTCTAGAAACGGGCGTGTTTTCAGAGCCATTATATAGGAACGGATGTCTCTGGTGGCTTCATAATTCTGGTTTTCAGCAGACATGCCAATATATAAACATCTATTTAATGCACAGTCTTTACTATTGCGTGTTTCAGACGGTCCAGTGGACAGCTGGAGAAGTATACTGGAGCTGAATGTGTTAGCATTGAGTGTCTGCACAAAAGAAGCAATCCAGTCCATGAAAGAACGCGCAGTAGATGACGGACATATTATCCACATGAATAGGTTGGCAACACTTACTAACACTATCAGATGTCTGTGTCTGGATACGGTATCTCGAGTGTCATGGCACAATTGGATATCTATAGATATATCTATAGAACACCGCCATGCTTCTCTATGGCACAGTTACACCAGCAGTGTCCGACATCTACTGCCCACAATTTAAATTACTAGTTCGAAGCGTTCGCCATGTTTTCTATTTTATTTAAAAACATGTGGCAAAACTCGATAATAATATATACAAGAAGAGTTCTATCTTCTGGGATATAACGCCGTGTAGTCTGTTGAAAGTTAACCGAGGTTTCGTAGGAAAATATTCCTTCCATATTTTGAAGACAGAGGCGATATGTTTCACCGAAACGTCGGTTGATTTTCGATGGATTACATGGCATTATATCCAAGAAGATATTACTCTTCATAACCAACGCTGTGAGAACCTCAAATCCTATGTAACACATATTTTGTCTTAATAGTATGCATCCTGTTGTGTGTCATACATAGGATATAAATGCGTATAATTGGGGCAGTCTGCACAACAACATTCCTGAAAAACAAAATAGACACTACTGCATCAACAGCAAAATAAAACAAACATTGATACAATAATGTCTATTTTGTTTTTCAGGAATATTGTTGTGCAGATTGCCCCCATTACACACATTTATATCCTATAGATATATAATGTGTTTTCGTAATTCCATTTCGCAGCAGAGACCATTGGATTTCGAAGTATAACATTTTTGCCATGCGGAAAACGGCATTCCGAGATGAAAATCGCTGTGAAAGTACGAAAGAAAATCACAGTGACTTTCATAGTAAATTGCAAAATACAGAATTGAAAAGGTACACTATGGAGACACTTACTTGTAAAAGAGTTAACAGAAGTATATATATATATATATATATAATTTAACAACAGAAGTTGTGATTGGGCTTCTTCTCCAGAAATAAGACACAAAATAAATCCCACTACTGGCATAAAGCAATATATCACAAAATGAAATTTGTCAGAAAACGAATTAAAGAAATCTGCGGAAAAAAAAGCTGTATATGCGTGATTTTACTCATACGGCTGGAACTGATTACGTTACTTTCGACATAAAGTCGACTACTGCTGGTTGCTGAATATCGAACAACAACGAAATCCGTTGTGACTGATAAAAAATCGATCAATCGATATTTTGTGTTTGGGATCCTAGTGCGCAAATCACTCAGCCAACGACTGTCAGGTCTACAGCTGGTCAAATTCTGGCCACAGGAAACGAATCTCTGTTGTTGACCGGTGGACTAAACAGAGACCACTGTGATGCCTCTTTTACCAGCTGAAGAAAGAAAGAAGTTACATATTTTAACAAAGTTCGAAATTTTATAGGTATTCTTTGCCGTAATTATTTCCTCTAGACAGCATCCCAGCTTAGTCCATATTCACATTCTATAAATTTATGTACTTTAGTAGAAATGTAACTGTCATTCTACAACCTTCAAGTTACTGGGGTTAGGCACCTTCTGTTTTAATTTATTTTAGTTTCTTGGGGTGGGGTGAGACTGAGTCCACTTGGTACGTCCGCCACTACTGGCCTACTCTACCGGCCCCGGACGATAGATAATGAGTGTGGAGCAGTCAGTGGAATGAGAATCGAGCGGGGAAACCGAAGTACTCGGATAAAACCTGCCCTAGTGCCACTTCGTCCACCACAAATTCTACACGATCTGAGCTGGACTCGAACCCGGGTCGCAGCAGCGGTGGGAAGCCGGCGACAAACCGCGTGAGCTATGGCACAGCCTCCTTTCTTCTTAAATTCGTCTTTAATCATTTCATTCTAGAATTTCAGGAGATTTATGATAATTTTTATAACACCTCATTCAAATCTCAAAAAGGAATTGCTTAACATAGTGTTTCAGGTCATGCACTGCCCCCCTCAATTTTCCCTATCTACATGTACGCTGCTTCCAAACACGCAGTAACAATATTAACAGAGGGACTTCGCCGAGAACTGACTGAGCAGAATTCAAACATAAGGGTCACTGTGAGTATCCAGACGTTATATTCCGAAAATAACAACCCGTTATCTGACCATGACGCAATGTTACGGACGTTCTAACCGTTCTCAGTGTTTTCATGTTAACTTGGTCTGCAGAGCATAAGTCCGGGTTTGGTGAAGACAGAGATACTTGATGCATCAAGCCGGACAATCTGCTCAGAGTCGGTTTATCGTAATTACGCACACCTGGAGGCCAAGGACATCGCCGAAGCCGTGTTGTACGTACTGGGAACCCCTCAACACGTTCAGGTATAAAATTCTCGATACAGTTTCTATTAAGAGCATTAATTTTCTTTTTGAAGAGTTCTATGTTCCGGGATACAACGCCGTGTAGTCAGCTGAAAGTGAACAGACGTTTCGGAAGAACATGTAACCTCGATCTTCAGAGGTTAAATGTAAGACAAGTAAGAAACCGACGTGAAACAGGCAGCAAACAGAGCTTTCCTTTCTTTCTTCGTTTGCTCTTAGACAGTGAAAAAGGAGACATGTTCCTCCAAAATGTCGATAGATTTTCATTAGATTGTACGGCTTTACACCCCAGGAGATAAAACTGACTACATGGAAATGAGTCCTTCGTGAAAAGCCGCCAGATGTTCAGTCAATAAATAATTTCCCAACATTTCATGGAACCCGCAGGTTCAATATCGCGTTCATAAGAGACCTCCACTGATCTGAATTCTGAGCCAGATCAATCCAATCCACATCATCCCATCCTATTTCTCTAAGATCTATTTTAAAATCATCCTCCCACCTATGTCTAGGTCTCACTTGTTTCTTGTCTCCTTACTTTCCTACGTAAATCCTATATCCATTTATTTTCTTCCCATTCGTGCTACATGCCCTGCCCATACCATCTTCCTTGATTTGATCATTCTAATTGTATTTGGCGAAGAGTACATGTTATGAAGCTCATTACACAATTTTCTCCAGTCTCCTACTATTTTACAACTAATCCAAAGTGTGATACAAGTCAATTTATACGATGGTCCGTTTTGTAACTTATATTTCACCATGTGGTTTGTAATTAACAAGTAAAATCAGTTCCTTTTAAATATTTCCACATTATGTTCTTTCATCAGAGCTGGGTATCATGTTTCACAGTTCAACATAAGAATACGAAGCATGGCATTTATAACACGATAACATGTTCACTTTTCCCATACCTTACAACGACGTAACATTCTTCTGCATTTGTTTCCAGGTTCACGAGTTAATAATCAGACGGAACAGAGAGATTAGTTAAAGAAAGCTCTCAGGGGTGACGCATGAGCTGTGGAGTGAAAAATCTGATTTACACCATAAATAATTAGGAAACTGATGTAATGGGCCAGTGACTTACCAAGTCTCTGACTTGTGGTCGCTGCAACGTCTGCTTTTTTAAGTCATACCAATACCATTAAGAGAACTCAGGAAACATCACTACCCAAAGACATCTATCAATCTACCTACCTACCTACCTACCTACCTATCTATCTATTCATCCATCCACACACTGTCCTTTGCTGGACCTTGGCCGCTTTTCAGTTTCTTAATCCTATACACAGTTGGTAGGACTCCTTGGACAGGGGATAATCCCGTCGCAAGGCCGCTACCTACACGCAGAACAACACAAACATAGAATAGACGCACACAGGCATTCATGCCTTGACTGGGCTTCGAACTCACGATCCCAGCGTTCGAGCGAGAGAAAACAGTTCATGCCTTAGACCGCGCCGCCATTGTAATCGGCTACCCGAAGACTACAATTTAGAAATAATTTCCAGCTCTGAACCAGAGGCCTGATTACGTCCATACCGACTTTCGTATAAAAGTGTAAGGACACCATCTGCTTTACATCACAACTGGTTTAGGCAACATAACGGAAGAAAAGTCCCATGTAAGTTAGATACGTCTGTATATCCCACCGGCGTAGTGATACTGGAAGTACAGAATGTAATAACTTTAAAATGATGACGTAATTGTCTGTACGAACAGGTGACGGCGATGCTTTCTCCTCCCCATAGTATACAAGGTACGTCTGAATTGTAACACGGGTGCTGGCAAGGAGATGGTGGAGCCAGGCGTGAGCCTCCCCGCAGAATTTTCATAAAAGTAAAAATGAAAACAATAAAAAAGAAAATATACCAAATATACAAATAAAAAAAATTAACAAGAGAAAGTCAAAACTCTCGGGCTATTCGCAAAGGCATTCTTAAACGTATAAAACAAATGTCTGCAAGTTAAAAAATTCTGGCTACTTTTCCTTGGAAAATGTCTAGACGGCACTCATGAACATGCGTTACTCGTCTCTTGCCTTGTAAATAGTTAGATATACCAACTTCACGAAAACTTGATCAGTACTTTATTTAATAATGCAACTTTATATACTACTATTATTCAGTTTTGTAAACGGTGGAGGGTAATTTGGATGAGAATTTGGTTGAACTGACTGCACGTCCCGAGAAACTGTACCATTCCAAGAAAGATCACACATATGAACCAGCAGAACATGCATTAACTTCTAATATAAAATATAGGTCATATATCGTTGTTGTTAAAGCCTGAATTATAGTTTTTAAGTTCCTTTTTGTACTTTTTGCAACGCGGAAATAAAATTTCAAAAACAAATATGTTTTTCTTTTACTGCATTTGATTGGAGAAGAAAAGTTACGAAATGAGTAAGATGGAAAGAAAAGAGGAAACGAAGAAGTAAAACAAAGGACGAAAAATACAGAAGAGAAAAAACTGCAGATAAAGAAAATGGAGGTAAGAGATGAATAAGATGAACTGAGAGGCTGGAAAAAGAAATGGAGACACGAAGGAGAGAAAGTGTAAGGAATAAATGTGGGAGAAGAAATAAGAGAAACAGAAAGGTAAAAATAATTAAAAAAAAATTGTTCATGTCATGGCCATTACAGCATTACTTTGCCAAATGTTGACTTCTTCACAATGACTTGGGTCTGAAAATGAAGTACCTCTCTCAGTAATTCGAATGACAGCGTATAATGAATGCTCCTCCGCGAAGTTGCTAAGTAAGTTCCCAACTCAATGAGACAGGCATACCTAAGACAAACAGCTGCCCTAGCATAACACATGCTAATCTCCAATAGAAAGTCAAGTAATTAATCATACCATTCTGAATATCTGAACATAAATATTCTTGCAAAGAAGCAGTTATTAATCAATGGCAGATACACATAAATCGTCAAGTACTAGTACGTCTGTCATACTCTTTACAACGTAATGAGCTTCAAATGAATAAGATAAATGAACTAATTCCATGAAGAAGAGTCGCTCACTTGGTTAACCTTTTGAGTCACTACGTTCATTTAAATATCTCGTACAAATTCAATCTCTAACTCACAGAAAACACAGCGCGTCTCCATTACAAAAACGACCTGATTAATGCTGTTTAGGTAAACGGTCACTGTTTTTTCTGAGAATTGTACGAAACATAAAGACACTGTACAGGAGAAATGCTCTCACTCGCTCATCACTCATGGAGCTGAACCCTTCTTGAGAAGCCATCAATTGTGCAGCTACTGAAGAATTTCGCAGCATTTCATGCAACCCGAAGGTTCATTATCGTGTTCACAGGGGCCCTCCACTGGTCCCTATCGTGAGGCAGATTAATCCAATCCATACCATCTCATCCAATTTCTCTAAAATTCATTTTAATAGTGCCCACCCACCTACGTCTGGGTCTTCCTAGTGTTCTCTCTCCTTCTGACTTTCCCACCAATATCCTATATGCACTCCTCTTCGTCCATATTCGTGCTACATGCCTTGCCGATAGCGCATCGTCCTTGACTTGACCCTTCTAATTATACTTGGAGAAGTGTATTCTGCTACCTCCCGTCACTTCATCTCTCTTCGGTCGAAATATTCTCCTCGACACCCTGTTCCCAATCATCACTATTCCTCTACAGGGCCTGTCAGAGTATCACCAGTGGATGTCTTCTTTGCTGAAGACAAACACTCAACACAAACTTTCTTATTACTCCATATTATCGAGAGTACATTGTAAATATGATATTAACTAAACAAAAAACATCCTGTTCCCAAACACTCTCAGACTATGAATAAGCAGTCGCCCTTGGGTCGACTCAGCCTCTAACAGAAATGACTATCAGGGATCTTCCTGGGAAGTAAAAGGTGGCCGGCACGTAAGGCTGACAACCTTACCGCCATCTGTGAGCACACTGTCTAGAAAAAATGTGGGAGCCTCGACGTCTCACAGGCCTTTGGGCCTTCATGGCCTGTTACAGAGATAGCTTTACCTTTTTACCAGGGACAACTTAACCTATTACGTCATACTGTGTCTGCATGGCGGAGAAGAGGCAGCCAATGGCAGAGCACCGTATTTTCGGCTAATTATGACCAGGAAATAGGTTCTCCTGCGGTAATGGTTAATGCATATTAGTAGTCGGATCCTGGGACGGATTCGAACTCATGATCCAAAGCGTTTGTTAGCAGGAAGACCTAAAATCGCAAGTTCAGCGGCACCGGACGGAGTTACCTGTATAACAAGGCTGTTGAGAGATGTAACACTCTTCTAATCATCTACCCCGATATCCTACAGACAATTAACGGGATAGGTGAGAAGGTAATCATAGTTAAACCGTGACTTAACGATCAACGATCTGTGTATGACGTAGCAAATCCCAATTCGGATGGAAGAATGTAGCACTGTTGTCACATACTTCAAATAGCGCAGTCGCAAGCTTGTCACGTTGAGAGCACATATTCGTTCATCTAGCAGAATACTTTTCGCAAATAAAACATAACTGGCAACACGCCAGGCTAACATGTAACTGCTGGCCAATGCTGTTTCGAGGCGAATGAAGCTGAACGCTGGTATGTGGGTCCATAATATCGCGCCCGAACTAAGAGTCTACCTGACGTCTCTTCATCTGCATTTGTTTTTCCGTTCCCACTTTACATACCGCACTGCAGACGCACCGGAGAAGTGACTAAGGTAGTCTTGATGACTTGCAAATACTCATTAGTAAATGCTTCAAGGACGAACTGCCAAACCCCCACATGACGAGCTAGAAACATAAATGCTTTATAAATAGAATACACATCACTCCAATTCATTACCAGCGATAAGACTTAACATCCACTCAAGTGCTGTAATACTGTGCAAGACTGTTATTTAAGATATGTTTTAATATAAGACCGGGTTTCGATTCCCGGCTGAAACAGTTTATTCAGATTGCTGCTTTCTGGGTTGTGACACCATGTCGACTTGAAGGTGTATACCAACGTTTCGGAGGAACATGTCCCTACCATCTTCAGGTCCCTGAAAATGTGAGCTGGTGCGTTCCCACGAATCAGATCCATCCTGAAGACAGCGTGGCGAAAATCTTGAAAATTACGTTCCATTTGAGGTTCTCAAGACAATGACTCAAGATTACGGTCTACTGGGATCTAACACCATGACGTTGGGATACAGGACGGTGTTACAGAAGAACATACCGCCTCCATCTTCAGGGTCGGAGAATTATTTAAGCAAGAAACCAGCAGAAGGTACTTTGTTGCTTGTTTGTTGATTTCTTACTTTGCTTAATCTTCGATCCTGAAGATGGAGGTATATCTCCACTTTTAGAAACCGTTGCCAAGAAACATCCAGTGAAGACACAGCTGGCTGGAAAACACTTAGCGGGTGCGGTAGTGATTTGTATAGTGTGGAAGTTAGCGATGACGTTGTAATTACTTGTACTTACGAGTCGTGTGGTGTTAAGTGGTCAATAAATCGAGTCGGCAGTCCAAACCCCATGTATAGTCACTGCACAATACGTGACAATATATATAGACAATATTCTAATTATTTATCTCAGTTGTATGTTAATACAGTGTTTGGCCATGCATTCAACCGGTATCTTGGAGAGAGAGATAACGCCACGCCGTCTGCTGACTTCCAACGGACTACACGGCGATATATCCCGGAAGACAGAACTCTTCCTAACCACTACTAAGAACAGACCAATATCCTGTCTGCCATTTCAGTACTTAAGAGAATAAAACTGCTTATGAGATCACCCTGCCGTCTGTGTGTCATCGCATTTAAACTACTGAACCAATTAATTGTTTGGCATGAACATTTCGCCTTTCGAGACCACCTCGTAATGCCAACATGACAAGAGCGCAAACTTGGCCACTTATCATCCTGAAATACTAATGTAATGAAGCATGCAATTTCTGTGTAGATGGCTTTTGTGTATTTACGTATTTCTCTAAAACGCAAAAGGCGATCACAGAGACCGCACGGTCTAAGGCAAGAACTGTCTTCGCGCGCCCGAACAATGGGATCGTGGGTTCGAATCCCACTTGAGGCATCGATGTCTGTGTGCATTGGTTGTTTGTGTTGGTCTGTGTGAAGGTTGAGGCCTTGTGACGGGCTTATCCCCCGTCCAAGGGGTGCTACCGACTGTGTACAGGATTAAGAAACTGAAAAAGTGGCCAAGGTCCAACAAAGGGCTGTAGAGCTGTAGGTAGGTAGGTAGGTAGATAGATAGATAGATAGATAGATAGATAGATAGATAGATAGATAGATAGATAGATAGATAGATAGTACTGATAATGTAAAATAGCAAAAGAACCGTGTGAAAATTTCATATGTCAGTTTGATTGCGATAAATAATGAACCAATAGAGGTAGGGGTTTGAAATTGGGTACAGAGACAAATCATGGCGTACCTACACCCGGAATATTGTTTTCATGTCAAGACATAGCCTACATAGAAAAATTGGGAAAGTTCTAATATCCACAGTTCAGTAATAAATTCTTGACAAATACAAAATAAATAAAAGTGATAACAGTAAATAGGCCTACATCTTCAAGCCTGGAAGCGTTTGCTTCCGCTCGCAGCGATCTGCGTGTATTAATGCCATACCTGTACTACTGTAGACATCCAGGAAGCGTCCTTAATGCATGTCATATTTCCAAGTTTTCCTTTTGTGCCGCCATGACGTTGCACTTCTGTCGTAACAATATGCGCTCCAAGTAACGTCACAGAATGCATTATATAATAAGTTCGCGCGCCGCTGAGTTGCTCTCAGTTGTGGCAGGAAGGAGCAGCTGCGATTAAGGTAGGTGGACCCTGCTATCTCGTTGCTTGTTGCGGAAGTTGCTTTTCCTTCCTCGTTGGGATAAGGTCACCCAGGGGTTTATTTCTGCCGTCAGTGCCCAGCGGGGAGTGAAGCTCACCACTCACCTCTATCAATTGCCGAAGTTAAGAATGGGAGACTTATACGCGGCGTCGTGATTAATTAAGCATAAGAAAAATTCGCCTTTACGGTGCACGGGAGTGGGGAATCCATTGCGCAGATATAAAAGCGCATGTCAGATGGATCTGTTCTTAACGGCGTCGCACCACTTCAGTTCCGGTTTCCTTCTTGAAGCAGCCTGAAGGCCCGTCCACATTACTCGTGCTCGTGTGACTCGCTATGCTCGCGAGTAATGTGGACGATATGACAAGTCACGAGACAAGCATTTTTAAAATTTTTAATTTAAAAACTATATAAATAAAAACGTAAATGTTGGTTTGTGTCTTATGGAAGATCTCCGAAAGTTCTTCACCGATTGCTTTGAAATGGTGACACAACGTTGCATTCGAACACGTGCGTACTTTCATATACCTATTATATAGATGTCACACCCGTGACAGGCAAAAACAGGTAAAAGTATTAATTGTATTCAATACAATATACTGTAACGCGTTATATGTCGTCCATCGAATACCAAGAGATCGTTGCCTAGGAATACTCGTGGCAACGAACTGTTGAAAGAGCACATCGTTGCCTTGGAATAGCCAATAAATTAAAATACGACTACAGCCTATACACACTATGAGTAAATATACGGATCCTCACGCGCCGAAGCCTGGCGAGCAACTGAAGTAGTGTGGATGAAGATTTACGAGCACAAGTAAAAGCCAGACGAGCACGAGTAATGTGGACGCGCCGTGACAGCAGCCTGCACCGTTCCTACATCTTCCTGCTTTCAGACTCTTACACCGCTTCGGCAGTGCTTTACTGTGGGGTGTTTTAAACTCAGTGAAGTACTGATAAGCCAACTGATTGCCATGGGGCGGAATTCGAAAAAGAATTTAAGGGCACTTCTTTAGTTTTTTTTTATTGCTAGTGGGGTGGGACTAAGTCCCTTGTACTGCGGTCACTTCTGGCCTATTGTACCAGCCCCAGATGATAGGTGAGGGTGATTGTGGAGCAATTGGTGGAATGAAGATTGGCAGGGGAAACCGAAGTACTCGGAGAAAACCTACCCCAATGCCACTTTGTCCACCACAAATCCCACTTGACCAAACCCGGGATCGAACCCGGGCCGCCGCGGTGGGAAGCCAGCGAGTAACCGCTTGAGCTATGGCGCGGCCAAGAGCACCTCTTTAGTTTTGTATGAAGAACGGTAGCATTTTATGCGAGGGATGCGTTCCTGAAGATATAGCAAAATTCAAGAGAAGTTCTATCATAGGATTAAAGCCGCACTATTTCAAACTCTGCACATAAAGTGAGACTTTATTATTAATATTTTTATATCGCAATATTTGAAATTCGCATAAAATGGGATTGGACTGCATATCAAATTTTCCATTCTGTAATCATTCACAAATTCAAGATTAGAGCTTCGTTCTCCAAGAATATCTCTGTTTTGACGTAAAAGTAGAGATAAACTTCACATATGAAAACCGTCTGTTGTGTGCCTGGGCTGTGGCAGGCAGTGAACAGACTACGGACGCAATAAATTCATCCGTTTGGCCACTGAGTCACTTGTTATGTCTGTCATTTTCACGCCGGCGCAAGGGACAGCAAAATAACAGTTTAGTGGGCTTAGCTTTAGGTCACGTTTGCATTTATTGTGACTAGCCATACGTTGTGTGGCGGCTGGTTTTGTCCAAACGAATGTAATTTGTAGATGTATGTTACCAGGGGAGGTAACAAGTGTCTCCAGAATTCTTATTTGTGATTGCAAGGTTAACCAAAACGTGTCTTAATTTTCTTTCTTATACGGGGCTATTATAAATTATCTTGGTGATAAATTGATGTATTTTTGAAATTCTAACAGATAAAAACATAAATCAACTTGAAAAGAACATGGAAACTCATTAACTTTTTGTTGGCATCAATGATTGTACCATATCAGCCGCGAATGGCGCTCCGATTGCTGTCAAATTAAAATGGCGTCTCATGAACATAAGGCACAATAGGGCGATCAGTACTTAATCCTTGGCCCCCCTGGATCTCCGGACCTCACTCCGTGAGACTTCTACGTATGGGGATGAAAGACCAGGCATACCACCCTCCGATGCCACGGTTCCTCCGACAGCGAATTTCACAGGGCGTAGCTAACGTCGATGAGTCACAGTTGCGGCGTGCATAGGAAGAATTCGAAGATGGCGTTGAGGTGTGCAGAGTAACTAACGGTGCACATATCGAATATCCCCAAATAAACTTTATGAGTTTCCATGCTGTTGTCAAGTCGTTTCATAATTATATATCATAACTGTTTAGAAAATACACTTATTTATTAATACCCAAATCATTTATAATCGCCCTGTACGTAGATGCATATTGAACGCATAGGCTGGTTTCTAGTGGTATGATTTTCGGACAAAGTTTAATGGAGGTCCGTGAGTTCTTTAAAAGGTAACGAAAGGGAAACAGTAACACAATAATTATTTAAATATGTATATCGTGTAGAGTTTAAATTCCTATCAATAAAGTTCAGAGTAACTGGAAGGAGATATTCTCCAAGCTGATTACACAGTTCATGATTTTTATTTGTCTAAAGATATCCGTAGCGTAATGTCCCTCCTGAGAAGCTGATAGTCACTCAGCGAATACATGAATACAGGGCATGTAGCATTAATGGGAGAAGAAAAATCCACATAGAATATTGGTGGGAAAGACAGAAGGAAAGACACCACTAGGAAGACCAAGACGTAGGTGGGTGGACAATATTAAAATGTATCTTAGCGCGATATGGTGGGATGGTATACACTGGATTGATCTGGCTCAGGACAGGGACCAGCAGAGGGCTCTTGTGAACACGGTAATGAACCTTCGCGTGCCATAAAATGCTGGGAAGTTCTTGAGTAGCTGGGCAACTGGCGGCTTCTGGAGAAGGGCTCAACTCTATGAGGATAGATAATTTATGGGTCAGCTTAGCGTTTTCTGAACATAGCATAAATCGAGTAGGCCTATGTGTTGCGCTTGATATGCAAGCATACAAGCTCGTGCGCACGCACGCACGGAAACACATATACACATTCAAAAGTCGCCTTTCTGAATACGAATGATTTTAAATAGCCTGCAAATACCTGTTACCACTTCAGCTGCCGATCTGAAATCATGCAAGTCCTAACATCGACTAACGTAAAGTACGGTCAAGTGAGGACTCGGCTACAGAGCAGCAGGCAGCCATAATTTCATTAAACGACACTTAACCAAATGATGCACGAGATATTTCAGTATTCACTTCCTACCTCAAACGAAGCACCCTGTGTCGCCATTTCAAAACCAGCCCACTGATACTGTTTAGGGAATGCTGGCTATCTATGCTACAAGCCGGAAGGTCGCAGATTCGATTCCCGATGTCACTGGATTTTCAATAGACCTAATCCTTCCAGCAGCAATATATCCCTGGGGTCGACTCAACCTCTAACAGAAATGAGTACCAGGAATCTTCCGGGGGG